TTGGCCATTGAAAATGAATAGCACTGGGTACGCACACTGTGCAAAATAACATTCATCCCCAGGCTTCCCATGGTCATCCATAATTTATCATGTAACTGTTCAGGGCTTTAAAAGTTTAAAAAAAACAACAAAACAAAACACACACCCCTCCCCATGCCCAAAAATCGCTGTAAAACTCATGCAAAACAAAATAACAGAAGCAAAACAAGAGGAAAAACCTGCTTCAGGTTCAGATTCTTCAACACCTACATCTGTGAAACCAGACAGTACATCTGATGTTACTGGCTGAAGGATTCCCTTCTCAGTTGCGTGTGAGTAAATATGCAATAAAGCACATGGGTAAAACTAATCCATTTTAACAAATATTAGGTCCTGTGGAGTAACACAAATAGGGAATTTAGTCCAGCATATTGATCTTGTTGCTGGATTCCAAAAGACATTTTAGATGTTTGGTCAAACTCATGTTCTTCAGGCCAAGCCTTTTGTTAAATTAACAGAAAATTATGTTTGACAAAATGCAAAGAAAAATTACTATTTGACTAATTCAAAGACAGTTTGGTCATTTAACTGAGAATCCTCAGACCTTCACAGAAACATATTTGTTATGACTGCAGCGCCATAGTCTCCCCTCTGAGCATCATGTACTGTTCTCTTGAAGATCTCCAGAAAGTCTAAACACCTACAGTTTTATAGGTCCCAACATTTCCACAGAGAGACTGTTCTCTGGCCTAACAGATTGTCCAATGGTTTAAATTGCCTTCTTATTTTTATACTAAACTTTAATTTTTAAATTTAATCTCTTCACCTCTACTTACAATAATTTTTGAAGTTCTTAAACATACTTCCAGGCCCCAAAGCAAGCAATTAGCATTTGCTGCTTGCTTTTTTTTTTTTTTTCTTTCTTTGTAATTTTGGCTTTGGTGCAGTTATTGTTTTATTTGATTTGTTTTCTCAATCTGTTGACCAGCTGGTTTAGACTTCAGAGAGGTTTTCTAGCAGCATCACAATCTACTCCTGCAGAGAAGAGAATTCTAAGATTATAGCCCTACAGTCCAAATTATTAAAAAAAAAAAAAAAAGTATTATTACATTATTTGCAGTAAAGCTCCATCCATTTCTAAGTAAAAAAAAAAGTTGCTTCTGTGCTTCATCTATATTTACTATATGTTCAGTAAGAAACCACTCCATTCCAGTTCTCTAGACTTTAGTAAAGACCACATTTTTAATGTCTTCATAAAATCTCAACATTTCTATATTCCTGTCTCTTTGAGCACTTACTACTCTCTCCATATTACAAGAGCAAATGGCAGCAGCTCTCCTCACCAGTTTCTCTTGGCTATAACAAACCAGGAGTTTACTACCTGCTTACACCACCCGACACCTCCATCAAGAGCTCAAGACTCAACTCATTCATAATTATTCACGGAGAGGCCCTTTAGTTGCTTTGTGGAAGGATCTTCTCCTGCCAAATATTTGCTTTTGTAACAAAGTAATAGACCTGCATTTTGCTCTCCGTTCACAAAGTTTGTTGTCAGTGCTGCCCTACATGAGCATGCGGAGATATTGGCATTTGGGGGATGTTACTTTAATGTAAGCCAAACATGGTGGGGGGAGACTCGGTGTATTCTTGGAGCCTGAAAACCCAGCGTTAGTGCTTGACTGATTCAGAAAAAAAAAAATAATACAAACTTCTTCCCACCCTGATTTCGCTATTTGGATTATTGCCTAGATAATTCATTTGAAAACCAAATCCACCCTAACAACTGTCTTGAAAATTGAGTAACCTCAAGTTCAACTGTATTAAAAAACTTCAGCTTCAGGCAAAACTGATGGAACAGCTCATTCATTGTACTTTCACCAAGCCCTGGCCCTCATTTTATGTTTTTCTGATTACACTTACATTGTGCTATAATTTACCAGCAGCACTATTGTATTATAATATATATTACCACTACCCGACTCTGACTGTATGCATTCAGCTTCATCAACAGCTAAAGACGCGTGGCTCAATGCATATTCATTGCTGTATCGCCATTTCTCAGCTGTTAAAAACAGCTGCATGAATCAGCAACAAGTTTCACAACTTAAAATAGATGTAACCCTGCAGGATAGTTGGGCTCAACGCGCATTACGGTTCTCACTCCCAGGCTGGTAGGAGCTAGGGATGCAGTGCACTTTACAGTACTTCTCCACTCAAGCATGGCACTGCCCTGAAGGTGGAAGCTACATTAGCGTTTTGGCTTGGAGCAGAAGTGTGCTTTTGTAATAAAACTCCTGATTGTTGTCACTTATCGTGCTTTGGTTCACATCCCAGAGTGGTCTTAGAACGGATGAACCCAATCCCTTTTGATGGAGCTAGACCAGACATGCACCACTGACTTCCACCTGCTCGTGGCATGTGGTTCAGAGGACCAAAATATAGCTACTGAAGAGAAAACCCTCTTGAACCTGACAGAGTGTGGTCTGGGCCCTCAGTCCAAACCGTTTTGTTCTGCAGATCTGCTCCTCTCAGCCCAACATGCTTGCTAAATGTAGACAGAGCTCTACACAGCTATCTGACTTCTAAGGAGGAGCTAGCACTTCAGGGCAGCCTGTCTTGGAGGCAGGAATTCATGGGATAAACCTTGGGGTCGGATGGCTTCTGTCCTCAGCAAACAGAACGTTACATTAACAACCCTACCCGTCTTTATGAAAAAAAGTCATCTAGCAAACACGTGCTTTCCTGTTGGGAGGCCATTCTTAGCTCTCTTCCAGGGCCTCAGCTAAAAAAAAAAAAAAAAAAAAAAAAAAATCTTAGAGCACATGCACAATTATCCAGTGAACAATCAAACAAAGTGCATTTTGTTTTCATTCAGTTGCTGTGCCAAAAAGCTCTGAAGTCACTCATACGTGCTGCAGTTATTATACTTCTATTTGCTAGTCCTTCCCCCATTCGCTGCACGCACCGCTGCTTATCACGGAAAAAAAAAAAAAATCAAGTGTTGTGCCATCCCCACATGTTTTTATCTGTCACTATCAAGTGCATAGATGTTCATGCATCACTGCCAGAAGAGCTTTATATTTAAATTACTGCAATAATAAGGAAAGTGGTCGCATCGCATTTACATGAAAATAACGCAACGCAAAACCTTTAGTACGAAAAGGAATTCCTGAACGTGTTGTTTGCTCAGTATGTTTCCCACACAACCATTCTACTGCTACTGCAATACCACAGTAGATATTGTAGATATTGTTGTTAATAATACATAGAAACCACATATCCTCTAGGAATTTCAGTACATATTTGCTGTGTTTCCTTAGTTGGCAACACAGCCCCTTCCTTCCCCCTACTTCAGTGCAAAAACAAACTCTACATGTGATCACTTACAGAGTTGTGCCTAATTATATAAATGTACTAATTATACACACTTTTCAAATGGTGATAGACTTCAAAGTAGGTACATTTTAAATTGTGCCATTAAGAAAATCTATTTGATGATGGAAATTTCTGTAATATCATACTGCAATCTCCTACATCGTAATTTTGCTTTCAAGTCCGTATTAATTTGATGAGAAATAACAGCAGAGAATAATAGAGTTAGGAAAGCAAGCTGAAAGCTGTAAGATTTACAGCGTGATAACGGTCAGCAGATGCTAACAAAAAGATTAAAAACAATTTGGAAAAGCAATGGATCCAAGGTAAACAATTAGTAGGAAAAAAAAAAATCTGCACAATAAATACGAATACCAAACCTTCAGAAACTACTCTGTTAACAAAGATAAACACCTGCAAGACTGACTTATCCCCATGTGTTCAGCTACTCATGAGAAAATATATATGTCATTGAACACTTAATTTACATGCACAGTTATCACACTGCTAGGAACGACTTGCAAATTAGTTCCTTGCAGTTCAGAGCATCTCTTTGCATGCAAACGAACGCCAACTGCATGTACCAACCAGCCCTACAAGTGCACACGTAGCTCAGTCCTCCAACGTCGGGCAAACGTTTAGGAAAACCAAACTGCCACACAAGACTTCACCTCCTTTTCCGACCTTGGTACGTGGCCCTGACTGCGATACCCTCACTTCAAAACACAGTTCTTTAACATTAGATATTCACCAAAACGCCTGGTTCTTCAACATCACGTGTTAGAGAAGCCATAGTATAAGTGAAAGGTGATATTCTTTTAACACTACTTCATAGTTACTCTGTCTATTGCCTTGATGCCCTAGGTTAGTAGTTTATTTCATGAAATTTAACAGAATTTATATATCTCAGCTGTAGAATCTAGATCTTACACTGACAAGACCGTTAGGAGATCTTACATTGACAAGACCGTTAGGCAGATCAGACAGCAATTACAATGCAGCAACACTATAGGACACTAATTCCTCTGCCTTTAGTTAAATAATAGCTTATGTGGCAGGGAAGAGACAGAATCCATCTTCACTGAAAACAGGACTGTGTATAGAAAGGGAAATGTTCAATCTTCCCTCACACAAATCCTAGTGTCAAAACAAATAGTCTTACTAAGTCACGGGCTGTCACATTTAATCAAAGACATTTATGGAATGGCTTGATAGAAGCATCTTATAAGCAGCAGATGGGTGATCCTGAGTTATCAAGCTCAAATATTGATCAGGACTTTCCCCCAGCGTTCAAGAACTCTTTGGGCCTGAGATTTTGGGTACGCTTTTCAGAGAACGGGGTCTAGATATGCTTGAATAGCTTTAAGATCAAAGGCTTCTGCTCTGGCATACCCACATTAAAAAAAGTCTCTAGAAGAGATTAAAAATATCTCTGCACAAGTCACTATTTTTCTTTCTGCATAGTTATGACTCAGACAAAAACATTCATAAAAGTTAGAATTTAAAGGAAATATGATGCAAATTCAGTATTGGAATGAGGAGCTCCAGCAGCAATATGGAAACACCCAGCACAAGCAGTGATTTTCTGCGAACTGGTGATGTCTTTGACCCCTGCTCATACATGAAGTCCATGCCCTGCCCAAAGTTACCTGTTGATATTCTTCCTTAGATCTCAAGGCAGCTTCCATCTGTTCCTGAGAAAACGTGTAGATGGCCGAGCGATACTGTGTGCCAAAGTCATTACCTTGTCTCATTCCTGGGGAGAGAGAAAACACAGCACACCATGAGGATCATCCTCTCTACCCGACTGTGCTGCAGGTGTTAAGTTCAACAATTCGGGAGGTTCCGTACACCTGGGTTAGCACAGTCTCTTACGGGCACATTCAGTAGATAGTTTTAGCAAGTCCAAGCCTTTCTTCGGTTAAATAGTCCTGAAGACATTCAGCACTGATATCTCATTTTAAATGACATGCAAATGAAATTTAAGCATTTTACATTTTGGTACATCACACAGTAGTCAAATACAGATGTAAAACCTTAAATAATCAAGCTGCAGTTACTGTAATCAAGGTACTCTTAAAATACTTATTTTGAACCGTGCAAATGGTTACGGAAAAAAAAGTTGATTTTTACCAAGTGCTTAAAAATTTTCTTGTGCTAGAGGAGTACATCTTAATGGGAGAAATGTTCCAAATACCCTTGGAGTTAACTAGCTATTCTCCTCTATTCACAAAGCAATAATCTTGCTAAAAGACCACTATGCAGGTACTGGTGAATTAATTCTGAATTGATCCATTCCCACCATCATCACCACTAGTTACGGAGTGAAGGAAGGAGTCTTACAAAGCTCCCAAATCTGAGCTCCGAAGAGGACTCCAAGTACGTTAAGGAGAGGTTTGGAGAAAGCCTGGCTGCATTAGTACTGTTATAGAGGGAGCAGTGCTTAGGAACCACAATCCTTCCATGATATTCTGAGTTTGGGAGAAGTAGAAAGCAAAGGTATATATGTAATATCTACTAAATTCTATTTGCAACCTATATGTGGATAATAGGGATGGTAAAAGTATATAATGCTGTTTATTTGTAACATTATGAAAACAAAACCCTAGTTATGCACACTCAGTAATTCCTTGAAATCACACCATATATGGGTACTTTCGGTACAAGGATTAGCCCCTTTACTTCTGATATACGTAATGCCTTCGAAAGACTAGTTGTATGAAATAGCTCGTGTACAACTTCTGAAAATACGAGTTGAATTCTACTTACAAACCAAGCACAAACACAGGCTGGGCAAAGAATGGATTGAGAGCAGCCCTGAGGAGGACGACTTGGAGGTATGGGTTGACATGACCCAGCAGTGTGTGCTTGCAGCTCACAGAGCCACCCGTGTGCTGGGCTGCACCCAGAGCAGGGTCGGCAGCAGGGCCAGGGGGGGGATTGTCCCCCTCTGCTCCGCTCTGTGAGACACCCCTGCAGGGCTGGGTCCAGCTCTGGGGCAGCAACAGCAGGACACGGACTTGCTTGAGCGGGGCCAGAGGAGGCCACAAAGATGCTGGGGGGGCTGGAGCCCCCCCTGTGAGGACAGGCTGAGAGAGTTGGGGGGTTCAGTTGGACAAGAGAAGACTCTAGGGAGACCTTAGAGCTGCAGGAAAGCGGGGAGGGACTTTTTATAAGGACATGTAGTGATAGGATGAGGGGTAATGGTTTTAAACTGACAGAGCGGAGCTTTAGATGAGATCTAAGGAAGAAATTCTCCCCTGTGAGGGGGGTGAGGCCCTGGCACAGGCTGCCCAGAGAAGCTGTGGCTGCCCCCTCCCTGGAAGGGTTCAAGGCCAGGTTGGACGGGGCTTTGGGCAACCTGGGCTGGGGGAAGGTGGCTCTGCCTGTGGTAGGGGTGGAACTGGATGATCTTCAAGGTCTCTTCCAACCCAAACCAGTCTGTGATTCTGTGACTCTGAAATAATGGCCCAAAGCAGAGAGATGACTATCCCCTTAGGCAACCAGCCCAGACTCGGTTTGGCATTACGCAGCCCTAGGCAGCCACGCTGGCCAAAGGCACTGCTGCCTCTCCTCACTATCCACTCCCGTTCCTCCGGGCAGCAATACTGCAAGCCAGCTTTGCTGTAGATCACTCCATAAAGTCAAACAACAATCTTAGAGAGGAGCTTTAGCATTAAAAATAATCTGGAGGTGCAGTTTTGCAGTTTTTGTCTTTCATACATTGTTCCCAAGTTTGCATTCAAGAACATAACTTTTTGCTTTGCTGTAATAAAATGTATTAATTTGAGTGTTTATCTGGTGTTGTATAAGAACTTGGGTGAGTGAAAATCTGGAGTTTCTAAGCCAGACTCAGAAGCAGACCCCTCTCAAATGCCTACAAGCCAAGACAAACTGGGAATCATCAGGATTTTTCTTCTGACTGCCACCAGAAGCCCCTTTGAAGATTACCATCAACTCTCAGGACTATAGAGATGAAATGGAAAAAAAAACACAAACAAAAAACAAACCAACCTGATATCCCCCTGGCAAAGGGCAGAGGGTAGAGAAAGAGCCTGTGATACCCAGGGGGGAGAAAGATGCTACCAACATCATACTACCCATTAAAACATATAACTTTTATCCCTCTTGTACTTTCCAAGGAAACAGAAAAACGGTTTAATGGATAGTACAATAAACAAAAGAAATCTGGCTGAAATATTTATGAACAAAAAGATGCAGAAATATTTGAAAAGATGCAGAAATATTTGAAAAGATGCATTTGGACAAAAACTCCATTCAGTGGCAAACAGTGTACATGAGAAAACATGATTCCCAAAAATGTTACGCTTTTTTTTTTGGATGATTGGGGTTACCTTTTAACTGCTAAAATGTTACACCATTACATACAACAACAATGTTCTTCATCAATACTTCACAGTGTGATCCGCAAGGCAGAGAATATTTTGCGCATTTCTTTGCAAGTTATGCTCTCGTAAAGCCAGTGCTGCTGAATAGTCAGGCATAAAATGAATAGAGGCCAGTCAAGCATTAGTTTTGCCAGGATATGTTAATGCTGATTGATGTCTGAGCTTAAGCATTAGCATTCTACAAATCTATTTATTGCTTAACAAACTACTTAACAACCGGCTAGGGAGTAGATTACAAAAATCTCTATAAACGCAGGATCACTATATACTACGCCAGTTTCTAGCATGCGCTTCAAGAGTATGAGTTTAGCATGAGCTCACGTGCACGGTGCTCTGAGTGAGAACTTAAACAAGATTATTTAATATATGCATGTGCCACCATTACATAGTAATAGGGAAGCGGTCAGCTTAATGAATTTATTGAAGAGAAGGTTAAGAGAACTGACTCTGATTTACAAATACGTATATATAGAAATAACTTGAGAAATAAGGCTCTTTAGTCTTGCCAAAAATCACTTAACTAAGTAGAGCAATTGAAAGCCAAAGTACACAAAATCCAGATGAGAAATAAGGCAACGTTCAAACAGCGAAGAGCATTTCTGATTGGAACAATGCAACCAAAGCCACATCCCTTTCTTGAGGGCTTCACGTCAAGGATATGTGTTTTCCCCAAAGATATACCACAGTTCAAAGAGCTGTACAAGGTCCGTGATGAAATCATAAAGTTAAGGAGGAGGTCAGACCGTGCAATAATAATGCCCCCTCCTAGCACTCGAGTGTTGGCTGGCACTGTTAAACCATCCACTAGCCATGAAGAATACTGAACAGGTACGGTAAGTATTAAAGCTACTCTTTGAGGTAATGTGATCAGTCATCTAAGCTAAAATGTCATTTATTTTTACTTGTTAATTAAATCAATTTGTACCTAAATCTCCCACGATAAGTAGCTAATACGTTATCTAAGCCACAAAGACTACAAGATAATAAAACCAAATAAATCCCATGCGTACAGCCAGTTGCCACCGTTGCTATTGTTTTTTGTAGTAACTCACATGTAAAAACTTACTTCAAGGGTCCATAACTGATTTTTTAAAACCCTCTGGCAAGTCTTACTTATTGAGATTCACTAACTCAATGAGTGGTAAACAAGGCAAGAAATTCAATTTACTAAATAAGTGTGGTAGGATGACTGAGCTTAACAACCTTGTCTTTGTCTGAAAGAGAGCCTACTAAATAAAAAATTACCTCTGCCTGGCTATCTAAAAATTCCAAAATGTCATCTGTAGTTAGCTTTCCATTTGTGAAATGTCTTTCTTATTTTGTCTATCATGACATTCTGTCTGTGTGTGTTAATATAACACCACAATTATACACATTAAGCTTCAGATAAGAATGAAAAAATATAAATAACTAATTTAATAAAGATGGTAAACATAGTGGAAGATAATTGTGTACTACTAAATCAAAAGCCATTCTTACGATGGATTGTCAACATTGCTGCCATTGATTCTAGCTACACTGGATGCACATTAGACACCGAAAAGTTCTCCGTTGAGACAACAAACCAACCTCTGATCTTCTGTGCACCAAAGTAGTTTCACTGAAGACAAGAAATATGTTCTAAGTTTATAATAATACAACTGAAACCACAAATAAACTCTACAGGCTTCAAGTTATTCACCTTGCCTACTAGGTCCTAGGTAATTAAAGAGAACAAACACATTTATTAAACACCCTTCCAACCCAGTATCTACTGAAAACTGATCAGACATCACAAAAGCATTGAGACATAGAAGTGCTTTGAATCATCACAATTTTTGTTTCATTTCATAGAAAAACGAACAAAGCTCTTGATGTTGGGGATTGGATGGATTAAAGCAATATTTATTATCACTAATGGATGCATTTCAGGATCAGATTCCCCACAAAAATTCTCTACAAAGACTAAGATATTTGCACTCTAGGAGAAGAAAGTTATTATTTTCAGCTGTGTCAAACTCCCAGTTTTAAGAGATACATATGATTTCGCTTTAATTTCAAAACAAACCAGTGAATTGCGTTTGTCTAAATCTTCACTCCTGGAAGAAGGAATAGTTCCTACAGAACATCAGCTTTACATCTTCAGAGCAGCTGGAATTTCTAGGCAGGAAAATGCTGACTCCTACAACTGTTCTGCAAGGTGGCTTAAAGTCACTCTTTGTGCAAAGCCTGACAATTTAGGGATAGAATTTCGGGGGAAAACCAGGAGATAAATCTTTTCTTGAAGGATATAATGTATGTGGAAATCTGTCAGTAGGGTCTGAACCTCCTTTTCATTCTAGGCTGAGATGATAACCAGGTTGCTTTG